ATGTTCAGACCTTATCTTTGAAGGTGGAAAGATAGTAGAACAAAGGAGACAACAACCGTCATTCAGATAACCACCTACAACTGCCTATCTAAGTGGTACACATGGAGGAAGTGGGAAGACTGTACATGGAAGTGAGAAGATTAATGTAAGTGCAAGGAAACCTGAAAAGAGTAGCTCGCCTGGCACAGTGCTTACCAAGAGATGTTTCAGGTACCACGAGACTGTACATGGAAGTGAGAAGATTAATGTAAGTGAAAGGAAAACTGAAAAGAGTAGCTCGCCTGCCACAGTGTTTACCAAGAGATGTTTCAGGTACCACAACTACGAACACATAGCCCTCAGCTGCCACACGAGCTGAGTTTTCTCATTCGCAGAGCAGGGCGTCCTCAAAAAAGTTGAGGAAGAGGAAGCAGTGAAGGATTCAGAGGAGGAATTTAAGAAAAAAGTTGAGGAAGAGGAAGCAGTGAAGGATTCAAAGGAGGAATTTAAACTTCAGGGAGATGAGGGAGAGATGCTAATCATAAGGAGAGTCCTTTAGATGGACAATATTTTTTTTCACCAAGTGCACGGTGAAGAGAAAAGTCTGCAGTTTGATTATCGATGAGGGAGCTGCGAGAATTTAATATCCACTATGTTGTGAAGAACTGGGGTTGGCCACAAAAAAACACCCACGTCCTACTCTCTTACCTTGTTGAAAAGAGGGATCAAAATATGCGTGGACAAACAATACTTGGTTGAGTTTTTCATGGGAGATTAGTTGCAGGAGCAAGTGTGGTGCGATGTGGTCCATATGGATGTTTGTTATATTCTGTTGGGGCAGCCATGACATTTCAACCGCAAGACCCAATACGATGACTTCAAGAATACTTACTCTTTTAAAACTGATGGGAGACACGTCGTGTTTTGACCAATCAAGGATGCGAGGGGAGTAGACATCACAGAGGAGACGGTAGTCCCGGGAGCCACCTTCATGCAATTGGTTCGAGAGGCTCCAGTGGCAACGACTTTGGTTCTACTAGAGTGAACTAAGGATACGGTTGAGATACTGGCGCCCATACAACCACTATTAGAGGACTTCCAACATGCGATGTGGTCCATACGAACGTTTGTCATATTCCTTTTGGGAGGCCATGGCATTTCGACCACAAGACCCAATACGATGACTTCAAGAATAGTTACTCATTTAAAAAGGAAGGGAGACACATCGTGTTTTTACTCGTCAAGGACGCAAGGGGAGTAGACATCACCGAGGAGACAGTAGTCTCGAGAGCCACCTTCATGCAACTAGTTCGAGAGGCTTCTGTGGCAATGGCTTTGATTTTACTAGAGAGAACTGTTAGGGGGATTGCCGCCATTGATTTTACTAGGAGAAGGTTGAGATACCGTCACCCATACAACCACTGTTAGGGGACTTCGAGCATGTGATGATCGATAATCTTTCAAAGGGATTGCCGCCATTGAGGGACATACAACATGTCATAGATCGCATACCCGGATCAGTGTTGCTAAATTGACTTGCCTATAGATTGAGGCCTATAGAGTATGAGAAGCTACAACAACAGGTATAAAATCTCATCTCGAGAAGTTTGGTCAGAGATAATGTCAATCCGTGTGATGTCCCTGCCTTAATGGTACCCAAGAAAGACGGATCGTGGAGGATGTGCATTGTTAGTTGGGCCATCAAAAACAATACTATCAAGTATGGTTCCCAATACCTCACTTGGATGACCTCTTGGATCGGTTGGACATAGCCATTGTTTTTTCCAAGATCAACTTATGTAGCAGGTACCATTAGAACCAGATGAGGCCATGGGACGAGTGGAAAATCGCTTTCAATATTTGGGATGGATTATAAGAGTGAACAATTATGCCCTTTAGATTGTCTAATGCGTCCGACACATTTATGAGGTTAATGAATTAGTTGTTTCGAGCCTACGTCGGGAAGTTCGTGGTGGTGTATTTCAATGATATTTTGGTATAAAACAAATCTATGGAGCATATATAGCACCTGAGGACGGCTTTCGAGGTGTTACGATCAGAGAGGCTAACGCTCATCCAAAGAAGTGTCACTTCTGGACAACATATGTATGTTTTTTGGGTTATATTGTGTCTAGTGCAAGCATTCAAATGGATGTCACGAAGATTAAAGCATTGTGAGCTTAACCGCACATCAAAAATTTATTAAGTTGAGGCAATTTTTGGGTTTAACATCGTACTACAAGCTATTCATCAGGAGCTTAGTACCATTACCGCTCCCTTGATCAAGCTTTTGAAAGGGGAGAAGTTCCAACGGAAAAAATACAAACTCAGAACAGTTTCGACACCTTAAAGAAGGCGACTGAGGCACTAGTTTTGGCACTATCGGACTTCAGTCAACTGTTCTAGGTGGTGTGTGACGTCTCCAATGTGGAGATCATATCAGTATAGAACCAGGAAGGTCGCCCCATAACATTCTTCTGTGAGAAGTTAAATTTGTTCAGGAGGAATATTTGACTTGTGACAAAGAGTTCTATGCGATTGTGAGAGCTTTTAATCAATGGAGACACTGCCTACCGACAAGCGATTTCACTTTGTTTGCAGATCATGAGGCTTTGAAATTCTTGAACAACCCAACCAAACTGAATGACCGACACATAAGGGCTGTCAATTCGAGTCAACGGATCGGGTTCGGGTCCGACCCAAAGATGACTTAACCCAAATAGATTCAACCCAAATCCAACCCAAATAATAAATGGGTCAAAAACTAAGGCCCAAACCAGACCAAAACTCGAGCTTGACTCGCTAACTCGAACCCGACTCGAACTACCCGAACTTCGGGCTTCTTCGGGTCATGTATCGGTTTTAGGGTTCAACCCGAACAATAAAACGATCGAATTCTCTGACCCGAACCTGACTCAAAAAATATTCAGGTCAACCCTATTGCGGACACCCCTACAATACGCTTTGGTTAGAGCTCTTAGTGTCGTTCCAGATTGTGCTTTAGCATAAAATGAGAAGCCAGAACTGAGTAATATACATGCTGAGCCTCCGACACTTGTTGATCACTTTGATGCAGACTCGAGTCACAGGCATTGAGGCAGTGAAATAGTTATACGAGATAGACAAAGATTTCAGAGGGATCTGAGAGCAGTGTCAGGAGAAGCCTATCGAGCAGTACCACAGAGTTGATGGTTACCTGTTCCACCAGAATAAGTTGTGCATTCCTAGATGTTCGCTGAGGGAGTCCATTATTTAAGAAAGCCATAGTGGAGGACTTGCATGACACTTTGGTAGGGGTAAGACTTCTGCGCTTGCAAGAGCACTTTTATTGGCCTCGACTGCGAGAGATGTGGAGCGGTATGTTAGGCCTATCGAATTTGTCATGCGGCCAAAACCAGGGGAAAAAATGGAGGACTACACTTTATTGCGCTAGTACCAAAGTCCTCGTGGGTGGATGTTAGCATGGATTTTTTGGTGGGTCTCTCGAGGACACAACAAAACAAAGATTCCGTGATGTTTTTGGTGGATAAATTTTTGAAGATGGCGCACTTCGTGCATTGCCACTAGACCTTGGATGCATCGCATGTTGCCAATTTGTATTTCGAGGTCGTGAGACTACATTGGATACCTAGGACCATTACTTTTAACAGAGTTGTCAAGCTTCTGATTCACTTTTGGAGGACTCTGTGAGGAAAGCTCGGCACCAAACTTCAATTCAGTTCAGGAGCTCACCCGCAATGAACGGTTTGACGAATGTACCAAATAGGAGTCAGGGAAACCTTCTGAGATGCTTTGTGGGAAATAATATTAAGCGGTGTGATTTGATTCTAGCTCAAGCCAAATTTGCTTACAACACATCAGTGAGTTAGACCATGTGACCCACCCTATTTGAGGTTGTTTTCAGTCGACTTGGTATTACTTCTGCCGACATCAGAGATTAGTGAGGATGACGAGAAATGTGTGTTGGAGATCCAGAAGCTACACGAGGAGGTGGGAAAGGAGATCACTAAGAAGAACTGTAAGTAACAAGCACAGGCAAACAAGGTAAGGAAAAATGTGACTTTTTCAAGAAGGAGACCGATTGTGGATTCTGTTGAAGAAAGAAACGTTTCTAATGGGAGCTTTTAGCAAAATTAAGTCTAGAGCAGATTGACCTTTTAGGATTCTGAAGAAGTTGAATGACAATGCCTATAAGATCGACGTATGAGGGTACTACAATATCACTGCTACTTGCAACGTGGGAGATTTGATTCCGCACTACGAGGAGGAAATCAACTGAATAGTTCTATCCAAGAGAAAGGTAGGGCCGACCGACCCTTATTGTTGGGCTAGGGTTGTCACCCAAGGGGATGGTTCAGCTTTTGTTTTTAAATTTTTTGTTGTCAACATTTTCTCCTTTGCTAGATCTGTATCCAAGGGCAGGTGATGCTCTGGTTGTATCTTGCTCCAAGGTTGTGATTATCTCCACATAATTCCTCGCTTCTTCCCTTCCCTGCCCCCTGCCATCACACCTGTTTCGAGGATTGGAAATAGCTTTTGTGAGCATGCACAATCACCTATTCTTAGCTATGTTTGAGTTTCGATATTGCTATTGTGATTTCTTTTTGTTGTAAAGGCAAAGTTCAATGGTAGGAATATTCCAAAATTTTACCTAGTATTCTCCGCTTGACAAGTGAGGAAATCTCCTAATTTTTATAGAGCCGAGAAATTAAATCACAAACATGTTTAGAAATTTTAATTTATTTCTTTCAACTTATGTAAAATATATTCTCTTTCATGTTCATCGCCATAACAAGCCTTGCCTGAACAAAATTGTTTTATATACATAAATATTCAGAGTTTTTTTTAATGGCTATAATTTGTGATAATTTTGTTCGAGTTTTTTTCATGGTGCATTCATGTCATATATTTATTTGAAACCGAAAGCAGCTCCTTGTTTGGATGTGGTGCTATGATATAAATAGCTTATGATAGCCCTTTTTGTGATATTGTTATGGGCATTTATGTAATGTTACCTGCAGGTTCTTAGCAATCCAGAAAGGACTCCTGTTCACACATTCTTTTGCAACTATGACTTGAGCGATATGCCCCCTGGAACAAAGGTATGGATGCCCCAAAGCCTAAACTTTGTGCAAATTATTTTGTCCTATAGAGTATTTTGATGATCAACTACCATTTTGCTTGTCACAAATATATGACTCCTTGTTAAATATATGGGGCATATAAATACATACTACCCAATTTCTATGTATTTACATATCTAGCAGCTAATCTTTATTTTTTACGTTTATACCACTGAAATGATTACTATCACATAAAAAAGACCACTATTTTGGCTTGACCACTATTTTGACTTTTAAAGATGAAATACACCTTTCAATGCATAGCTAAGTATACAAGCCACCTTGTTAAAGAAGGTGTGAAAGAAAAAAAAGAAATGGATAGTTATGTAGTAGGGTGTACAAGGAATGCAGGAGAAGGGACGGCGGCTAGATTCCAGTGTGAACGGCGGCAAGGCGGTAGGGCAGCAGGCGGATGACGTAAAACATCTGGTTACCTTGCTGAAAACAGCAGTTTTTACTGCCAAACGTCACTAGACAGCAAGTTCTATGGCAAAGGAGGCCTTAAAAAATTTGGGAGAAATCACCACCTCGATCCTATCCGGTTATAAGATAGATCATCCGAAAGAAATCCAATGTTACATCACTTCGATAAAAATCAGGAGAAAGTATCTCCAAACAAATAAACAAAGCCAAAAATACTTTCAAACAGAAAAACACCACCTATAAATAGTTTTCTAATAACAAATAACCTAATTAGAAATAAAGAAATAGGAAATAAAGAAATATAGTAAATAAGGATAAAAGTATGCTGAAAATAGCAAAATTCGGGTGGCTTTATCAGCTGCTCTGTAGCCCGCATCGTGGACTTTGAACGATCCCCTGAGGAAAAACGGGATTTCACGAACACAAAACTAATGCTCTGTGTCATTCTCCAGGGCTAGAAGAAGCTTCTTCTTCTCTGGATGGGCCTGGATCCCATGGCTGGTTGTCCTTTCCTAACAGATATCCAAGGAGATTTCAAAGCTTCGATTCATCACTCATATTTAGTTGTCGGTCTGGGATGATACTACTCTACCGAAATGAAATTCAATACCCAAATTAAGTTATATAACCTTCCAGATATAGCTCTAACATGTTAAACCTCCCTCAATAGTGGCAACTCAGTGGGTTGACAGTATGCCAAAAAAATTTTGAAAATATTTTTATTTGGGGTTGCCTTGTTTTTGGTATTGACTCCTCAAATTCATTACCCTCTTTGACAACCAATGTCATTATTGTGGATGCTTCTCTTAATGCCTGCAAAAAGGTAGCTCGTAGCACCACTTCCTCAAGCTCTATATGAACGCCCATTGCCTGTGAATCACCATCTTATAAGACAACCACTATTAGTTTCATTGAAGTCTCTCTCATGTGCTAATCCTGAATGACTATCATTTCTCCATTAGCTATAAGTTGACACTCCTTGGCGTCCTTACCTTCTCTAATGTTCCCTATGTCATTGTTTATATTTTTCACTACTCCCTGCTTTGTGAAAGAAATCGCCCTCATGTTTGGGAAATCAGACGTGATGTGCCCAAAACCGTGGCACTTAAACCATTTTCTGAGTGGGAAAGATTTGAGTGTGTTGGCTTCCTCCACACCTTTTTTACTTTGAATTTGTTTCTCCTCATGTGGGGTTGGCTTGGGCGCTCCATTTGGTGTAATCTTACTGCCTAATCTAATGGTTAAATTTTGTTTGAAGGTTAGTGTGGAACGGATATTGTTGTGTTGTCTCTCCTCTTTCATGTCTCTCCACTTTCAAGGCTAGCTTCTGAACATCTTATAATGTCCAATATAGCTGACGTTGCCAGTAGAAATCACCCCAGATATGGAGCTACGTTGTTTTCCTTGGGGCTCCACTAGTTTGCACAGCTTAAACTCAACGGTGCAATCTTATACTTATAGATCTTGCTATTGTAAATGATGAAGTTTCAAGAATATGTTCTATCTGTAATGTGATGGTAGGTACTTGTGTTGCATCTCCTTTTTCATGTTGTATTGGGTTGTGATTTTACTTTCTCTTTCTCATTGGTATAGAAGTTTCAAATTTTTTTGACCTTAGAAATGTACTTTTCTTTAATTTGACGGTGATTAGTTTTACCTTTCCGTGAAGTGAAATGTTCTTGTATTCAAATACTTATCCCATTCTATGGAATTATGCAATGAATTCATCCTAATCCATGCGACCTTCAAAGTTGGGTAAGTCATTCTTCACTTCAAAATTCAGACTTCTGATATTTCATTCCAAATCTTCGAGGTATTGGTTTTCTTATCATTAGAAATTGTTTGGTGAAAGGGATTTAGTTATGTCTCTCAATCTAGTGAGTCACCGTTTTGGTTATGAGCAACCTCACGAGATTGTCTTCTCCCAAAGGCAACAAGCTTCTATTGTAGTTGGGGGATTTCCTTCTACATGTTCTCTATAGTGAGCTTTTGAACACCTCTTTGTTGATTTATTCTTGGTGTCATGACACGATAGTTTAAATTGAAAAGAAAGATATTTTTCGGGTTATGTTTAGTGTTAGAGCTAGGGCTGGCTGGGGCTGGAATGATGTTGGGAAATTTTTTTTGTTATGTGGGTGTTAGGTTAGGTTGTAATGATTGTTGGTGTAGGAGTAGATGCAGGTATAGGTGTATATCAATGAATGACAAATTCTTAAAAATTTAGGGTTTATCGAAAATTGATACCATATGGTACCGTGCTAAGGAAAGAATAAAATAAATGGATATGTATGGTTTAGGGTGGGCAAGGAAAGCGAGAGATGGGATTGCGGCGGAATTCCGGCTTGAATGGCGGTGGGGCAGCAAGCTACGGCAGAAAACAAAGGTTATTCTGCTGAAAACAGCTGGTTTTTGCTGTCAAATGACAGTAGCAGTGAACAGTGAAGGAGGCCTCCGAATATCCAGAAGAGATCACTACCTTGATTTTATCGAGTTACAGATACATCACTGGAAAGAAATCCAGTGTTACAACATTTTGATAGAAAAAAAAAACAGGAGAAAATATATCCAAATAACATAGCAATGTTGTAAGTCCTTTCAAACAGCAAAACACCACCTATAAATAGTTTCCTAATAACAAACCCAATTGGAAATGAGGAAATAAGAAATAAAAAATAAGAAATAAATCAAAAGGGAAAGAAACATGCAGAATGGGAAAATTTGGGTGACTTTGTCGGCTGTAATGTAGCCTGATTGCGGCCTTCGTGTGATCCCTCACAAAAATGCGGGGTTCTATCTGCTCCATTTGGTGTACTCTTATTGGCTTATCCGATGTTTGAACTCTGTTTGAAGGGTGTGTGGATTTGATACTGCTTTATTGTCTCTCCACCTTCTAGGCTAGGGTCTAAATATCTTGTAATGTCCAATATTGCTACAATTGTACCATATTGTGAATAGTTGATCTCAATTCCCCTAGATATCGAGCTCTACTATTCTCCTCGGGCTTCACTAACTTGCACATTTCAACATAAACTGCTCGAACTTAGCGGTGTACTTTTTAACAGGAGATCTTACTGTTTTAAGTAGTGAAGTCTCAAGAACATGTCTTGTCTGTAATGTGTTGGTGGGTACTTGCGTGTATCTCTCTTTTCATTTGGACCAGGTTGTGATTTTGTTTTTTCCCTCGCGCTAGGGTAGACGTTTTAAATTTTTTCACCTGTGTACTCTTCTTTAAGTTGTTGGGGACTAGCTTTACCCTTCAAACAGGTGAAAAATCCTTGTATTCAATGACTAATTCTACTGCCTGGAGTCACTTGATGAACTCGTCTGGATTCATCCAATCGTCAAAGTTTGACAAGCCAATCTTAATTATAAATTTTTAACTTCTCTGATATTTCATGTCAAATCTTCAGGATATTTGTTATTTCTCACTAGAAACTATCTGGTGGAAGATATTTTGATACCAGAACTAGTAGGGGAAACAATAGAAACACAAAACAAACTTTTACTTATAGGGAAATAGGGTTATAACACAACACTAATGAAAAAGAAAAATACAATCACAATCCAATTCTCGATTAGGACCGGAAGAGAAGATCTGAGGGTGGTGAAGGTGTCGACAAGGTGACAAATGGGAAAGGGGAAAGGGTTGAGGGCTGGGGAAAGGGTTGGGGGCTGGGGGGTAATTGGGGAAGGCGGGGGGGGGGGATGTTGGACAACAAGTAATGTGAGTTTGGACAGCAGGATCGGCGACAGGGCAACAGGTTGCGGGGCTGGACAACAGGCTTGGAGGGTTTGTACAATAGGTTGGGTGGCTGGAAAGTGGGTTGGAGGCGGTTGGGAAAGGCTTGGAGGGACCAGCGGTTAAGGGGAGGGGAAGAGGAGGGTTGGATAGCTGAAAGGGAAGAAGATAACACCACCTTGAAGTGGGATACTAGCCAGAGCACCACTACGTCCTCCAGAATACAACTCAAAGGGGAAAAAGACTCCACACATGAATTTGAAATCACACACAACAAAAGCTCCCTCTAAACTCTAAAAACAGCAAGTACTCTTACATGAAGAAGAAAGAAAAGAAGTAAAGAAGGAAACTCCGAGAAAAAGGAAGGTGTGGGGTGGCAAGAAATATTCATAAATTAGTCATTAAAATACTTCCAATAAAAGAAGAAGGTGTGGGGAGGCAAGAAATATTCATAAACTAGCCATTAAAATACTTCCAAATAAAGAAGAAGTAGAAAAGGAAGGAGTGAGGCGCGGGAGGCCACTCGCCCCGTCAGGAGCCTCGCCCGGGCCACTTGACCCTGGATTCCTCTAGACTGGTCATTAACAGACTGGTCTAGTTCAACCGATTGGCTAGGGTAGCAGGAAGACCCCTCCCTGGTATACGTCTTGCGGGAAGCTCCGTGTCAGATTCACTTCCTCTCGATCTGACGAGTCATCGTTGTGGCCATGGGTTACCTCACCGAATTGTCTCCTCTCAAAAACGGCAAACCTTTGTTTTAGTTACAGCATTTTCTGCTGCATATCTTTTATAGTGAGCTCTTGAACACCGCATTGTG